TACTTACTGTCCACCCTGATTTTTTTTTATGATGGATTAAAAGTACCCGCCATCACTGCTCTCATTTTAATTCCAGAAAGGCTACTGAAAAGTATTCAGTCCGTTCTATTTTCCAAAATCCAATGAAAAACATAAGAATCTATTTGGGAATCTATTCTTGGTCAAGACGATAATTTTTCAGCACCCACTTAAATTATCGTAATAACTGCAATATTAAAATTACCTTTGACTATGAATTAACAATTTCAAGCAGAACTGTTTCATATATTTTTAATTGTTTTTGTGTCATCGTAATCATTTTCAATTAGTTGTAAATTTAAAAAATTAAAAATAAACTACAGCTGCTTGACGTTTTCTTGTCTGTCAACTAACATATTTGTGATCTAAAATGTGGAAGTCTCTAAATTTATTCAATTACTGTACTGCAATATTAGAATTAATTGTTTTTTATGATAAATTTGCATAATTTATAACTAGACAATCTATTCAATTTCAGTTGTGGATTGAAATAACAAGCACGGTTTGTAAAGTCGTTTTAAAGTGTAAAAATAGGTTATTAGTTCGTCAAAACTTACTTTGTCATATCACCAAAAATATTTTACGCATTATTATTATTATTAATTCTCATATTCTCTTGGTTTCTGCTATTCATCTCTGGAGATTTAGTAAAAACAACTTTTCCTTGATACTCCAACATTCTTTATTCAAACTGTTCTCAGCGGCGGTGTGGATTAGTTTGATTCTTAATCGAATCTCCAGTTCTTCTAATCCTTCATCAAGCTCTTTGCAACAGTTCCCAGTGCTCTGGCGATAAGAGACACTACTATTGTTTTCGTCTTGCACGAAATCTAGATATTCCAGTCGGTGACTTTCACTTTTATTTCGTAATCTGCCGCTATGACAGCGAAATAAGCTGACAAATTTTCTTCATTTTGTTTTCAATAACTACATTGGGTGATTCGTTTGGTTCTCATAGTTCCAGAGAATCTTATGCATTTATTAAGACTAATGTTGGGTTTTAGTCGTTTGTACAGTTCCCATTGGATTTGTGTCCCCCCCCCCCAAACCTTTAGGTATATTTCTTTATTATAATCGGAATTGCTGCTTCCTCTTATTCGATGACTGGTGGTCTCGTCTCTATATCGGCAGTCTGAATTTGCTATTCTCTTCTATCATGATGTTTATATATGAGGTTATGGCCTTATTCTGTGCCGCCGTTAACTTTTTTCTTTAAATGTCATCGTCAGAGCCATATTCATATCATTTTAATCGCCATAGAGATCCTTCACTGCCCCCCGCCCCATTAGAATATCTGATAGTCAACTTTTTGAGAGCAACTCTCTGCGTCTGCTCGGTCTCACGTTGACTGCTGACCTGAGATAGAACAAATACATTGAGTCAATTGGCTTCGTCCACCGCGAGGAAAGTTGGCTCTCTGTGCCGCGCCAGGAAATTTCTCTCCCCGGAATCGATACTTCAAATATACAAATCAACCATTCGCCCTTGCATGGAGTATTGCTGCCTTCTGTTTACCTCGGAGTTCTTGACAAGATCCAGAGGCGGATGTGTAATATAATTGGCCCTGATCTGGCATCTCGTCTACAGTTGCTCTCTCACAGACGCGCCGTCGCCTCTGTCTTTTCTACAAATACTTTCATGGTAATTGCTCCGATGAGCTGCTTTCACTGGTTCCCAGACTCCATGAATTCAAGCGCCCTACGAGGCTGACATCCCGCTATCACCCTTTCACTGTAGAAACTTAAATTTAGCCGTCTCTTCTACCCCAATAGCTTCATATTTCGCACCTCTCGCCTGTGGAACACTCTTTCCTATTACTGTTTCCCTGATAGCTATAATCTCCAACTATTTAAATGTAATGTCAATCGACATCTCCAGTTACCTTGATCTATCCACTATCCCTCTCCTCATCCTTTCTTCTATCACTCGTATCTGCTCTCGCTCCAAATCTTCTGCAACCCCCTGCATCCTAGTGGCTTCCCGCCATGCTCGGGGCGTAATGCTTAAAAAACAAAAAATATCACTTGCAATTCCTTCAAATTTTCTCCTAAAATGGCCGTATAGTTGCTTTCTTTCCAGATTTAACATCCCATTAACGAATTTCCAGCACCTTTATCTTTCCGTTATTTCTACTGTAATTTTTGGATGTCGCAATCAGTCTTTCATGATTCATGGTTTTGTAATTTTCAAACCTCTTGATAAGGATATCAAAACAATCTTCAATATTGATGAGGCCTTCTTCCTCCTCCTCCTCTTCTTTTCACATAAAATCTATTGACATCATCTTTATCCATTGTCATCAAGGTCATTGTTTCCTGAACAAACATTATCCTTTGTCCAGTTTAAGAAGTGTCCTGAATATTTACAGTAGAAATTACCCAAGAATGTCTTCCTTTCATGAATTTTCTTTTAGTTTTTAATGTTTTTCTTCTAAGGTCTGCCTACTTTTTTTTCCTTCGTCTCAATCTGTTTAATTAAATTCAATTTTTAATCTTGACTCTGGGAATATCTTAAACGTAAAGGTTTTAACTGATATAATGAATATTCGCCTCTCAATTATTTAGAATAAACTGACAATCGAAAAAAAGCTAATTGAAGTAAAATGAAAACTTTTCTTATGTTGATGCATGACATAAGCATATCAATTGGCTCTGATGGTAAATTTTAATAAATTTAAAATTTTAATTTTAAATAGTAGAATTAGCTATTCCTCTGTATACCATCAATCGAATGGTTTTGTCTTGAAGAGTAAACATGATTTGTTTGTATATTCACTCTGATAGTCATATGCAAACTTTTACCGATTTTATTTGTATTACTTAGAGATATTTCAGTGATGACAGACAGAAGGCAATGAAGTAAGCTCAGTATAGAAATGGAAACTTGATTTTGTAATAGTTGATCCTTCTTAAAATGTCCAATGTGTTTGACTGCCTACAATAAAACTATAATAATGATGATAAAGTGTGTATTTCTCCTATTCAGAATATATAATACAAAAGGCTATATGATAGTGATGAATATTATACTCTGAACCAAATAAAATCAGGAAAATTCATTATTCCTTAGAATAATAAAGTATGCGCTGGAATAGCCTCTGAATGAAAAAAGACTGAAACTAATACCAAAAGTGACTGATTGATACCAGTTTCGATTAATAACCAAAGTGAATGAATAAGCACTATTTTTTAAAATATACTTATTTTATTCAAGTGATTAAAATTACTGGAACAATGTTCCTTTTATTTCCACCCCCCCTCCAACCTGTAACTATCGATTAACGATATCCATTCTTTGCTGCCTTGTGTTATCTACTTAAGAACATTCTAGTGATTTCTTTGATTTTGTAATATCATTTAAAAGTTTGAAATGACGCAAATTTTAATTTTCCAAAAGATATATAAAATACATTCGCTCGACATTAAATTCTACATTTTAAAAAAAAGGATTAAATAAATTGCGTTTTTTGTATTGCACTTGATCCTTATATATTTTTCATTCTATCGTAGTGTTCGCGAAAAACTATAGCTTCAAAAAATATACAAACACCAAAATCTTTCGAAGTGTGTATATTAAATGTAAATGTAGACGGAAATAATTATTTATTCTTTTCTCCCTTTATATTTGTGTTCTTTCTTAATTATCCGGTCTTTTCTTAAAAGTTCATATTTTCCTATTTTATTTAATAGATTTTTTTCTTGTAATGCTTTTCATCCTTCAATTATTTCTTGTCTGTGTCTATTCTCTTTGAATTCATTTTTTATTCTTATCTTTTATCATTTATTCATCTAACTTTGTGTACTTAATTTCCATTGTCTAGTCACCAACAATTTTTTATACTTTTCAACGACTTTCTTCGCACTTTTTAACCGTTCCTTACTTTTCACCTCTATCTTCAATTCCTTTTAGTTCTTTCAAACTTACCATTCTATCGGTTTATTTTTATTTTTTCATAATTCCATTCCCTACTATTTTTTCTATTCCCTTTGATTTTCATTCATTTAGTACATCTTTGTTTTTCTTATATACTTTCGTTACTTCCTTCTCTTTTATAGTTTCTTCGTTACTTTCTACCCAACACATTCTTCCACCAATATTTATCCTTTATCATTCATAATCTTGTTGACATTTTATTCCTGAAAATGAGATCGAATCTAATATTAACCACAGATCAACGAGGCTAAATCTGCTTAACTTTTAGCCAGACAGACGCCATTACGGTAATAGGAGCATTTTTAAAAAAAGAACTTGTAGCGGACGTTCAATGAACCCAAATCACTTGATTCCTATGACATCGAAAATCAATTGATCGCTACTTTTGATTCCCTTGTGCTCTGTGAAGAAAATAATAGCATATAAGGCTTAACGCAGCGGTCAATAAGGGAGATGCGTATGTAAAAGAATTATGGAGCAGAATTTTGCCCAGAAAAAAAATTTACTGACAACGAAACACGTGACTAACTTCTTTTTAGGATTATCATTCATTTTATTCGGTGTATTTTGCTGTACTTTGTGTTTACTGGTTAGTACAATGAACGAGCAGTTAAAAGGTCTGAGATGTCTTGTGCCATAGGTTGTGTGTGTGTGTGTGTGTGTGTGTGTGTGTGTGTGTGTGTAGATGTGAATATACCTATGTGAATATGCAGTCTTTGTGAACCAGTAATCAGATTTCCTTATTATCTGTTCAAAAGTCAAAAACTAAAAATACGATTTTTTTCATATTGATATATTTCATTTTTTACGGCTTATCAATCTTTTCCAGGTTATTTAAAGCCAGAAAATATTTTAGACTAATAAGTTTTTATAGATAATATTGATTTACTGATGCAAGTTCTGCTAATTAATACATACCTGGGGAGGGAGAATAGGTGGATACATGCCTTTCTCAAAGGTATTTAGCGCATAAGGGAATATAACGAACCCAACCAGATTTGGAACTCTGCTCTCCGATTATTAATTCCGGTCCACCCGCACATCCAAACTTACACCACCTGGTATTCCCAAGCGATCACCCATCTAGGTACTGTTCAACCTCGATGTTGCTTAACTTCGGTGATCGTACAAGAACCGATGTTTCTAAAAGATCTGGCCATAAGCATATAGGTATAGATCAGCTCAGTTAAATGTTATGAACAGCCCTTTCTTACAGCTGTACCTTTGTCGAATATCTTCAAAGTAAACTTTAACCTCAAAACAACACGATCTTAGTTTACTGATCGCAGAAAATAATTTGTTCCACAAACCAGTCTCTTTTTCTATCAATTTTCGCTACCAGTCGGGTATGATCGAGAGTTGCTTTAATTCTTATTCATTTGTTATGATATACTATTTCTGACTGAAAAGCATTCACTATAAGTATTGCTAGCTTTAAGTCACAACGACTTAGATATTTAAGTAATATTCTACTTTAAACTTTATAGTTTATATTATTATTATAAACATTAGAGACAGCTATTTCATTACTCATCTGAGCGGTATATCTCAAGATTTTTACATTGATCTTTTATGCAATTTCCACTCCGCAAGTGAATGAACCAAATCAGTGTTCGCTCCTTTTCCTTATAAAATAGTTACATAGATTCATAATGTTTGAAAAAAAATACAAACTTGCCAGTGTCTGTTGAATTCAAATTTCCATTAATTTACAATAATAGATGAGCCTAGTGACAGTTTTATCTAATTTTATCTTTCATATTATGAAGCAGATATATTTAAAAATACAACCTAAAATCATTTCAAAGTGTTTTATCTTTGCACTGTTAATTTATAAGCAAATTACATTAAAGACTAATATTTTCGGCTTTTGCTTTTTGTTTTCTTTATAGCAGAACGTGAATGAATATTGGATTGTTTCCGGCAAATTTTGTTTTGGGATAAAAAAATGCAATTTTCTGTTTCAAAGTAAGTGCATTGGTGTCGTGTTTGCAATGAAAATTATATATTTTAGAAAAGTTATATATATATATATATATATATATATATATATATATATATATATATATATATATATATATATATATATATATATATATATATATATATATATATATATATATATATATATATATATATATATATATATATATATATATATATATATATATATATATATACATATATATATATATATATATATATATATATGTATATATGCATATATATATATATACATGTATGTATATATATATATATATATATGTATACATGTATGTATATATATATATATATATATATATATACATGTATATATATATATATATATATATATATGTATACATGTATGTATATATATATATATATATATATACATGTATATATATATATATATATATATATATATATATATATATATATATATATATATATATATATATATATATATATATATATATATATATATATATATATATATATATATATATATATATGTATATATGTATATATATATATATATATATACATGTATGTATATATATATATATATATATATATATATATATATATATATATATATATATATATATATATATATATATATATATATATATATATATATATATATATATATATATATATATATATATATATATATGTATGCATATATATATATATATATATATATATATATATATATATATATATATATATATATATATATATATATATATATATATATATATATACATGTATGTGCATATATATATATATATATATATATGTACATGCATATATATATATATATATATATATATATATATATGCATATATATATATATATATATATATATATATGTATGTATATATATATATATATATATATATATATATGTGTATATATATATATATATATATATATGTATGCATATATATATATATATATGTGTGTGTGTATATATATATATATATATATATATGTATGTATATACTGCGTGCCAAATTATTATCGAGATAACTTTTTTTCTAATATTTCAAAAACCGTCCAATCAATTCACACAAAAAAATGGCAATACTGACCTGCACAATCACTGAAATTTTCGTACTGATCTGTGCAATGTAAACAAACTGGCGTCATATTAGTTATCAGCACGGTGATTTGAGCGTGCCAAATTATTAAAAGGTTTAGTAAAATTCCCAGAATCGTTTATTAATGTTGCACGTGAATGTTTATGATTAAAGAAGCTAATAAATAAGATAATCAAACAAATAATAACAGATACAAACAAAGGCACGGTTTTAAACAAATTAATAGGGAATGTGCTCCTGAGTTGCCGTCCGTTGGCGTACAGTCTTCGCTTCATGATGCTCCAAAGGTTTTCGATTGGGTTCAAATCCGGAGAATTTGTTGGCCATTTCATTTTTTGAGGTCCATCGAAGCCGAACTGTTTCAAATATTCAGTAGTCTTGTGAGCAGCATGTGAGGGAGCATTATCTTGCATAAAAACAATGGCCCTTCTGAAGGCAAGTCTTTGCCTTTTCATCCACGATTCAAGATGCTCCTTCATAAACGCTATGTATGCATCAGCAGTCATTTTGACGCCATCTGGTACTCTCCATGGGCCCAATAATGTTTTTCCAATAATACCACCCGAGATAATTATGCCTCCACCGCCTTGGCGTCTCAAACGCTGATGGCGATTCTGTCCGTTCATTACCCAGTCTTTGCACCATCTATCTGGTCCATTATGTGTTGCTCGAGTTTCGTCTGTTTACTAAACTTTAGAGAAGTCAATCTTCATATTGTCCTCGGCTCATTTCAATCGATTTTGAATGTGATTTCTCGTCAACGGTGGCTTCGATACAGGTTTGACTTTTGTTGCTATTTCCATCAGATACCGACGCAGAGTACTTTTAGACATAGCAGGGTCCCCAGTGCGACTGAAAAGCTCTTGACTGGTAAGTCCAGGGTTATTCGTGGCCTCTCGTTTAAGTCGTGACATGAGACGACGTGAAATAACCCTCGGCTTGCTTTTATCTGCCCTTTTGCGTACTTGTGTAGGGTCGGCGGTGAACTTTTTCACTTGTTTGATCACACCTCGCTATCATTTTAGAAATTTCTAGGGTAGATTTACCTTTTGAGAGTTCTGAGGTGATGGTTTTCTTTTCAGCATTACTTAAACTGCTTTTACGACCCATCTTTTCACTAAATTCTTACACATTTCTAATAATTTGGCACGTTCAAATCACCATGCTGATAAATATGGCGTCAGTTTGTTTACATTGTGCAGATCAATATGAAATTTTCAGTGATTGCGCAGGTCAGTGTTGCCAATATTGTGTGAAAATTTTGTCTGAATTGATTGGACGGTTTTTGAAACATTATAAAAAAAAAAAATATATTGGTAAATATATCTGTTAAAGATGAGATGTCAGTATTATTTTCATTTTTGCGCAATTTAGACGGCAATTTATCTATCGCACCCCCTCTCTCCACACACACATATATAATAAATACTATAAAATAAATGTGTGCATATATATATATATATATATATATATATATATATATATAATAAATACTATAAAATAAATGTGTATATATATATATATATATATATATAAAATAAATACTATAAAATAAATGTGTATATATATATATATATATATATATATATATATATATATAAAAATACTATAAAATAAATGTGTGCATATATATAATAAATACTATAAAATAAATGTGTGCATATATATATATATATATATATATATATATATAATAAATACTATAAAATAAATGTGTGCATATTATATATATATAGGGAGCGATCGGTAAATTGTAGTCATTTTATACTTTTAATTTAGCGCAAGCGCATTGTTTGATTTTCATTGGTGTGTATATATATATATATATATATATATATATATATAACACTTTTCTAAAAATATATAATTTTCATTGCATACATGCGCACATGTATAAAGATAAATACCCACATTGAAATATATATATATATATATATAATATATTATAATATATATATATGTGTGTGTGTGCGCACGCTTTTATGAGTTTATTCTCATATATAGATAAAAATGTTAATGCAGTATACACAACTGATCGTTGAATACATATAATTACGATATATATTAAAATCAAGACAACTAACAGGTAATCTGTATAAACAAATATATAAATGGTCACACACGCAATGAATATACCTCACATGCTATATATATATATATATATATATATATATATATATATATATATATATGTGTGTGTGTGTGATATATAAATACGCATATTACGACAGAAAAACAGTAATTTACATACGGGCTTATTCTTTCTCACACAAGAATACGCAGGCACAATTTTTTTTTCCATCTCGTCAGATGTTTATTACATTTATCGATTATTTTTTTGTTCTTCCAAGCAAATTAAAGATGAAAAAATATAATGAATATTTTGCATTATGAAGTTTTAATGGTGAACAGCGTAGAAACTGTTTCCTGTCCAATTAAATAGGTTGGAAATAATTTCTTTCCGATATATATCCTAGACGTATTTGCCCACAGAGATGCTGCACAACGTTACTATTAGTGGTATCGATCAAAAATATATCACCTGTGGCTACTGTCTGTCATTATTTTTATCAACATTCTACTGGCCGTTTTTGTAGTTGTCAAAATTAACATTGTTATTATAACATGAAACCAATTAAAGGGTTAGCTTTGTGCGTCCAGAGCTTCTGAGTCAAGCGATGCGAGGTCGAATTTCGTCTTTAACTAGTTTTTATTATTATTATTATTATTCAGAATTCCTGAAGTTTAACAGTCGAAGTGTAATTCAGCTAAAAACGTTATATCAAGCAGCAGTGAAATATACAAAACATTTTATGCACCCAGTCATTTCAGGACGTAGGCGATTATGGTTCTCAATAACTTCCTAACATTTTTAGCTCTCTTTGTCTTATTACCCCTCCCCGTTTATATCCTGGCCTCGATTTACACAAACCTGTTAGGTAGTTTACTCGCTGCTTTACTCTGTTCCTCTTGCCTTCAATATGACTTGTGAGTGTTTATTTTTCCAGCCCTCTTACCTATTATGGGTCCAAGAAATTTCAACTCTTTCTGATTTTTCTGTTCCCATTTA